TTCATGTAATTAAGCGTTTTAATGATTTGGCCGATTAATCGATTAATTGAAAAAATAATCAACAGATTAATCGATTATTAAAATAATCGTTAGTTGCAGCCCTACACCACGCAGTATTTTCACCGTAACACCTTGTGTTCACACGCACAACAAAACTGTAAGAGCTCATGACCGTCGTTAATGAAGTCGAGGCTCAGAGGCAGATAGATCTTGTCTCCACCTGCAGCGTGGCTCCCACCTGTGCTGAATGTAATTCAAAGAATTCCCGTGCCATAATTTTTAAAATAAATATATCAGAGCTCCTCGTCTGAAAACATTAAAAAGAAAATTAGTTTAAATCATCCCTGTTCTGTCTTAAAAATCTAAATATTGCAGGTTAAATACTTCTTAGAACTTCCACACTTCATTAGAAAACACTAAACTGTGTACTTTTACTAAGGTCATGTACACAGTATACTCAACTGTACATGAAAATCTTTGACCTGTGTGCAGGAAGAAGCTCATGAATGTGTTGTACTGTGTGGTACTGGGTGGAGGGTCATTAGTAATCTCTAGATGTAGAAAAATGTTTCAGTCAAAATATTTTTTTGCTTCTTTAATCCCTGAGCCTAAATACTCTGAGTGCCTCTGTTTGTGAAGTCTGATGACGAAGAAGAGGATGAGGAGGAGAACAAGGAAGTTCTACTCAAGCAGCTCCTGAAACCGTCACCCTGGCTGACTGAGAACGTTTGTATAAAATAAATTTTGTCTACAGAACAATATTCTTATTAAATTAAAATCTTCTTGCCATTTTTGCTGTTTTTAGAAAGGACAACCAAAATTTTTGGTGGACAACCAGATTTTGTCAAAAGGTCATCCGCTGGATAACCTGAAAAAATCCTTATGTCTACCCCTGATTTAGAGTTATCTGCTAAATGAATGGAACCTGAAACACAATGTAATCAGGCAAAATAATAAATTAACATTTCCACCGCCAGATGGAGACAGAAGTTTGTTTCAAATCCACCTGCAGGCTGCCTGCAATATTTTGACAGCAGTTCCCATTTTTATATTTAGGTTGTAAAAAGGTGAATGTAACCTATTTTAATGCATTTTAAAAAAGGCTGATGCATTTTAATTCATTTATTAAATTAGGTTTTGTCAAATTGAAGCTGCACCTTTTTAAAAATCTATAACTGAATGATGTCAACAAAAATGAACAAAAATGGTTTTGCCTGTGTGTTTCTCTATTAGCAAAATATCTCATGATTCACTGAGCAAATATAATATGCAAAATGTAATCAGATGTACATCTGCAGCTGATTATCTTTTGGATGAAACATCCTGCAGGGGACTTTCATAGCCACTAACTCGATCAGTTTTACAGATATTGAGCAGAGATTTTTTTAGACTGATCCCCAGCACATATTTTGAGCTGCTGCTGTTTCTTCAGCTGCTCTTTTCTTTAGGAGGTTGRCACAGCATGCAAACTTGCATGAATGATTTGGCAACTGTTTTACACCATCCTGTGCTTGAACCTGCAACCCCAGGATTACAAGACCGTGGCAAACATATTTTGTTAAATCTTTAATTAGAATTTTGCCACCGACCATTTTAGTTGACTCAGCATACCAAAATATCTCACAAACCATTAACAGATTTTTTTAAAGGTTTGTAACATTCTGTCATAACATCACTTATGGTGCGTTCACACCAAACGCGATTTCAGCATCAGGAGCAGCAGGTTTACATGCAAAGTCTATGGTGGACGCGCTTCAAGCAACGTCGGGAAGTGCTGCGGCGCCTCAAGCGCGATTAGAGCAGCGCGATTTGAACGATTTGGACGCTCAGATCGTCCAAATCGTCCAAATCGCTGAAGCTCTAATCGCGCTTGAGGCGCCGCAGAACTTCCCGACGTTGCTTGAAGCGCGTCCACCATAGACTTTGCATGTAAACCTGCTGCTCCTGATGCTGAAATCGCATTTGCTGTGAACGCACCATAAGTCATTTCTACCT